GGCGTGGCCTGGGAGGGTGGGCTGCCCTCCCCAGCTTCTCCCCTCCCTCTCCGCTTCCTGACCACCATGCAATGAGCGCCCAGGGATGGAAACTGTGAGCCAAGATTAACCTCGGTCCAGTGAGCTGTGGGTGTCAGTTACTGTGGCTCAGGGCCAAGGAAAGTGACAAAGATACCATCGCACTTGGATTTTAAATCTATCTCATCACTCACTTGGGGCAAGTTTTCAAGAAAGGTCTTTCCTTATCTTCTTCTCCTATTAGTGAGGGTGGGATGATTTTTTATGGGTTCACGTTCTTGGTGCTCACAAGGAAATAGATGGTCCATGAATGTCTGTCAAATTAGTGAGAACTAGGAGCCACTCCACCTGGCCTCCTTGCTTTTCTCCGGCCCCAGCATCCTTTGCAAACCCATGACCTACCCACCAGGTAGGCGTGAGACAGACTCCCACAAGCAGCCATTCATCCTCTGCTGCACCTGTTCCTGACAGTGCTCCTGGCCGGCATAGTTCAAGGCAATCAGATGTTTTCCTTTCTTTGGGAGGTCGCAGTCAGACTCCAGGAGAGTCAGTAATGACTGTCAGGCATGTGCAGGACCTTTCTGGTTCACACAGTGAGACGCACCCTTTGCGTCTGCATGGACGAAGCTCTGCTCTGTTCTGCTCTCCTGGTGGCTTCCTGGGAAGGCCACTGCATCTTCCCAGGTAGATGAGTGCACAACACAGAGGACTTCTGGGCCCCAGAGGGAGGAGAGCTCACCTAGAACGACCAGAGGCACACAGAGGACTGGATCTGCTGGGACAGCACCCTTCTGGCTTCCGAGGACATGTGACCATGCTCCCCACCGCCACTCAGGCGCCAGCCAGGGCTACGCATGAGGGTGGGTACGGCAGCCCCACCCCGGGGTCCCCAGCTCCCTGGACCCCGAGACTGTGCAGGCCTGAGGGGCTCCGTGAGCCAGGAGCCAACCCGACAGGAACTGGAGAACAATCCAGCTGGAAATCATTTACAAAAAATTGCTTGTTTCTCTCTATCATCTACAAAGCAGCACAGAAATGGTGAACTGCTTTTAATGAACAAGATCTTTTCCCAGACCAGCAGGCAGCTCATCTCTCCCTGCGGGGGCCGTGTTCTTGGGAGCAGCTGTGGGGAAACTGGGTCCCTACCTGCACTTCAGATCGGTCGCTGTGTCACCGAAGGATGAGGGGAACCTAGCAGGAAAGGAAGAACAAGGTGCACTCAGGTTTGTAGATCCAGCTAAGCCCACGAGAGGCCTTGGGCCATCAAGATTTCGGATCCCCTCTCTGCTGCTCCCGAGTCCAGGGTGAGGGCCCCACCGCATCAGGCTGTCCTGCTGACATGGACTGCCACTGTCCTCCTGGCACCGGGGACCCCTTCTGCACCTCCAGACATGCCACTCAAATGTGATCAGACCCACTTTCCTAGTTATCCAGGACTCCCGCCCTGAACTCAGGCTGTGCCGATTCAGTGAAGAGGAAATCACTCCCTGACCTCAGAGCTGATCTAACACTGTTCTAGGCAATTTGGAGAAGTCCAAGGCTGTGGGGGTGGGGCGCAGGAAGCCACTGCGAGCCATCCAGGCCGCCTCTCTCCAGCCTTGTGCTTTGTCTGCAGATGCAAAACAGCTGCACAAAACACGCGCGTCTCTCTGGATGCCTGGGGAGGAAAACAAAACTCACCGCATGCTTACTTAAGGACTGTGACGTGAGCATCACAGCCAGCGAGTGTTCCTCTGTACTCTGGACCCGAGGGCACCACAGGCTCCTGTCCTGGCAGAAGCCACCTTGTGAGGGCGCCACAGCCCATCATGGGCACTGCGGTCAGGAGACCTCACCGTCCTCCACCGAGCTTTGTCTCCTGCTTCCTAAAGCATGGGCAGCAGACATGACAACCATGACCAGCACTGTGCGGCCTATTCAATATGCTCTTGCAGCTGGTCTTACAGAGAGAGATGTGTCCCAGATTCTTCCATTTGAAAAAGCAAACAGCTGAGCAGCGATGGCCTCTGGAGTGAGAGGAGCCAGGAGTCACCGGGGGGAGTGGGGGGCTTTCTGGGGGACAGCAGCCACCGCCTGAAGGCGCCCAGGGCCGGCAGCACAGAGATGCCCAACATTAGCCCTCGTTTCACTGAAGGAAGAGAAACCTGCAAGCAAACACCGAGCCCTGGTTTGCAGTGTGCAGTGCACGTGGTAAGGAGGGGAGAGGGCGGAAGTGTGAGATTAATTAGTGGGCAGAGGCAGATGCTTAGCTGAGTAACGGAACCGGAACCGCACTGGCGTCCCTGGTATGATCCGGGAGTGGCCTCGGCAGATCCTGCCCTTGCTGTCGGATGGGTGAAATGGTTACAGCCAAATGTGGGAGGAGGCAGCCACTTCACACCAGCTTGAGCTTCCTCTCAGCATGAAGTCTCTGTCCATCAGTCAGAGCTGAATGTATTTATGGCCTAAGGCCCAGCATGAGGTTCAGTTCTCAGGGCACAGAGCCACATCTGTGTCCAAGAACCTCACGGCCAGGTGGAGACCAGATCTAGACCGGTGTCTCCCTTTGAAAACAAAGTGCGGGGCCGTGTCACGGTCTCGCGCCAGGGCTACATTTTCCAGCAGCCCTCCTTTCCCTGGAGGCTGAAACACCCATGGGAGAAGGACATGCACGCTCCCCTTGCCCACTAAGGGGAAAGTCCCACCGTGCCCCGCCTGGCTCGTGTGGGGAGGTGCTCTAGGTGCTCCCTGGTGACGCGGCCACTGGGTGCAGCCTTGGGCAGCTTTCTCCCCGCTTCATTTCCTGCTCTTCCTTCCTCCCACCCCTCCAGCCCCGCAGCCCTGTGGTGGAGCAGGCCTCACCTCCCCGGCTCAGGAACTAATTCACACGTGGCTCCCTGTCCACTGAAGGTGGGCAAGCCCCGTCTAGCTATGTGAGGAGAATGACTGTGTTTGAGATGAGAGCAGGAAGGGTCTCCCCATTCCCTGCTCTCCAGATGAAGTCCGTGGAAAACACCCTTCGATCCCCTTCTGAGACCAGTGGGAAATGCCGATGCCTGGCGCATGTGCTCCGAGTCAACTCCAGACATTTCAGGGCAAACCTCGAAAAATATCTTGCCCTTCTGAGGCAGCCCCAAATTTGTCCTGCAAATGCATTTTAAGAGAAGAATTTGGAAGACTTGTCTGCTGCTTCCTAAAGCAGGCCGCAAATGACAATTTGTGAGTGATAGTTTATGATCTATGCAATATGCACAGTCTGGAGGATGCAAAGTGTGCAGGAACTTGAGCTCCCATGGTTTCACAGCCTCTGGTTCCCATAGGAAGGGACTTGCTATGCAAGGGATGTGACAGCATCTGATGGGCCCCTGCCTTGGATGGCCTGGCCCAGCCCCAGTGCAGCTCGGGCAAAGTGGAGGTCGGGGTGGGATTCTCGCTGCACCTTCTCCAGGCTTCCTCCCGAGGCGCGGCAGGTCCTGGGCTGCAGGGCCTGAGCACCCATGTCCCCCGTGTCCAGTGTGCCAGGGCAGGGACACGGCTGGCACCATTCCAATGCTGTCCCCCAGGAGGAGAGCAGCAGACAGCCGGGAGGTGCCTGGAGGGCCGTGGCCTCTCCTGAGACACAGGGTGAGGTATAGTCCACAGGCCCACTCATGGCTGACAGGCAGCCACTCCACTTCCTTCCTCAAGGTCCAGGACAGACAACGAGTGGTTCTTCATGCAAACACACGGTTGAGCTGCAGCTCGGGGAACACCTGCCTGGCAGGGGCAAGGCCTGGGTTCCGGCCCAGGGCCTCGGGAACTTGCCAGAAAGCCCCGTGGAACGTTACTCTTCCTACCTAGTTCTCCCAAGGCAATGTGTCCCTGATAGCGAGGGACAGCCTGTCTCTGCCAGGTCTCAGAGTGAAGGCACTGTGCAGCAGTCCAGAGTAGCAGGGCTCGGGTCACCAGCAGCAGGAGGAAGTGGATGTGGGCTGGAAGCACCTGCAGGAGGTCCCGTTAGTAATGGGATCCACACCCAGCTCTGTCTCAGTCTGGGTTTCTTCCAAGGAGGACCTGTCATGAGAGTCAGAGTCAGGCAGCGCCGTGGACAGAGGAAGCAGAGCACAGGGCCACCACAGACAGCTGGGGATGCAGCCTGCAGGGCATCTGCACCTCTGTGGCCTCTGGAGATGAGGGAGGGGAGGGATTCCGCATGTGTGTGTGTGTGTGTGTGTGTGTGCGCGCGCACGCGCGCGCGCGCGCATGCGCATGTGTTGGGGGGGCAGTATTGAGCATGGCATGCAGGGCCTTCTTACTGAGCTAGCTACTTCCCCAGCTGTTTTTACTTATTTTGAGATAGGGTCTTGTGAACTCATTATGTAGCCCAGGCTGAGCTTGGACTTGCAAATGTCCTGCCTCAGCCTCCCACGGTTGTGTGCCACCACATCTGGAATCAATAGAGCTATGGGTACCTGGCTCCCAGCTGCCCCAGGGGAGGTGTCACAGGGCTGTGACCTGTCGTGGGCAAAGCAAACTCCAGCATGCAGAACAAGCCCATGGGCACAGAGCCATGGGGGCTGGAGCTGGAGACTGAGACCCAAGGTGTGAAGGTTACAAGAGCCAGTGCCATGGGGAGAGACGCACATCCATGTCCCCAGGCAGGCAGTGTCCACCCGGCATCTCCCGAGAATGCCAAGCCACTGCAGCAAGTGTGATTACACACGGACAATCAACGTGACTGGTTTTGGTGTTGTTGTAAAATACTTCTGTTATGGCTGTGTCTCCATGTCCCCCAAAGCCTTATGCAGTCACAGGTAGGGCCTTTTCAGAGGTGGTGGGTTCTAGAGGGTGTCACACTGGGATTAAGGGTGTGATTACTGAATCAGTCCGCTGACTGGTTTGGCACCGCCCTAATCCCTGTAGCCTAGAGAGAGTGCAAACACTGCTAAGGTCTCTTGCTTCCTTTGGCTGCCTTCTGCCCACCATGGACTGTTTCTCCTCTGCGATGCCCTCTGCCACCCTGCCTCAGAGCCAGCCGACTGTGGACTGAAACCTCTGCAAACTGTGAGCCAAATAACCCTTTCCTCCTTTAACTTTGGATGTCAGATCACTTGTCTCAGCAATGGGAAAAAAGTAACTTAAGACAACTTTATTTCCACATTCCCCAAAGATGAGTCAGACTCTGTGTTTACCAAGAGCTACTATAAGAAAAATACACACTGTTGTCTTTTTCACAAAGCGTTCCGTGGTGATTTTAAATCGGATGAACCTTCAAGGGATCTGGGACTGGATTTGAGGTGGTTATTGGATTTGAGGAGAGGGTGCACAATGTCCTCTTAGCTAAGAACAGGGCCCCAGGAGGGATGTGTGTCACCATTTGTGTGCTGCTCTGGTTTAGATCTCCATGTCCTCAAGAGCCTCCTGCACTCACGAGCGGGGCTTTTGGATCCCAGGCCTCACAGCTGACTGCTGCTGGGAGGTGGGGCCTGGTGGGCAGAGGTGCTGGTGGGGGCAGGGCCTGGAAGGTGCCTCTCCCTCCTGGCTCCTCCCCGCTCTCTCTTCCTGTCCACCCTGCCCTGAGCGGCTCTCCTCTGCCAGGCCCCTTGGCTCTGCTGGCCTGCCTTGGCACCGGCTGACCGTGGATGGAAGTGGGAGCCCAAACAAACCTCTCCTTCCTTATAAGATCCTGGTGTCAGACACTGTGTCCAGCAATGGGGCAGGTAACTACTGAGGAATCCGACCACCACTGTCCTGATGGAGACCATGCTAACCCTACAGCTGCACTCAGCACGTCAGCCCGCGGTGAGAGTCCACTCCTTGCTGTGCCCCGGTTCCCGTCCTCGGGCAGCCATCCCCTACCCTGCCTCAAGCCACTGAAGCCCCTACCCAGAACTCTGCCCCATGACTTACAAAAGACCCCATAGCCTCTCAGAGAGGGTTGGCTCCAGCCCAAGTGCCAGGGCGGTCCCTCTCGGGCTTGTTCTGAAGTAAACCTGTTCTGTTGAGCCTGTGCTTTTGTTTCTTTTCCTTCTTTTTACAAATAGCTAAGACATACGCAGCTCGGTTCCCAGGGCTCAGCAGAAGGACGAGGGCTACCGGGAAGAGGGACTGGACTGGTCTGGAAGACACATGAAGAAGATGCCCGGAGCCAGCAGAGTGAGGACTGGCTCAGTCCTTGTGGGCAAGCGACAGGGACACGGAGGCAAGGAACGAGGGAGGGCCCTGCAGGAGGCCAGGCTCCAACTTCCACTTCCACATCCTTCCCAAGTGGCCGTGAGCCCCATGCAGGGAAGAACCAAGTGCTGCCCAGTGAGAGCCCTGGCTTTAGCTGGGCACGCGGGCTCTGCTCAGTCCCTGCACAGTCACACACCACCCACTGGACCTTAAAGTGTTTGTCAAGTGCATCCTTCCTATAGAATAGCAGCACTTCCAGGCAGCTACAACTTGTACCAAAGGAGCGTGTGTGTGCTGCATTCCTCCAGCATCCACAAAACCTCAGGGGCACCCCCCCTCCCCAGTCACAACAACCCTTTCCGGCCCCAAAGGCAACTCCCTGGGCACTGTGCAGTGGCAACAGACAGACACAACTGGAGCCTTTTCCTCCGCATAGCCTCAGTCAGGGAACAGGAAGGCAAACCTGCTTTTCCTTCTGCCCCTGGACCAGGGAACAGAGCTTTGGGAGCAGAACTCGAAAATTTCACTCATTTGCCAACTGGACAAAGGAGCCCAGTTAGGAATTTGTCTCAACACCAAAGGCATCACTTTGCACCATGAGTGTGAGTGTGTGTGTGATTCCACTGATTTTGTTTTTCTTGTTTCATAGCGCTGGGAATTGAACCCAGGACTGAGCTACACTCCCAGTCCTTTTGCTTGTTAGTTTGTTTGCTTGTTTTATTTTTAGGCAGGGTCTTGCTACGTCGATATGTTTCCCAGGCTGGGCTTGAACTTGATCCTCCTGCCTCAGCCTCCCCGAGTGCTGGGATTCCAGGCACACCCCCATTCCTGGCTTGATTACTCACTGGCCCTACAAGAGATGCTAGAGATTTGTGTGCTGTGTCAGAGCAAGGCCACCACCCATCGGAAAAGCCCTGTGGCCGTCTGCACAGGGACACCTTCCTTGTGTCCGTGGTGGCCGAAGCCAGGTCAGCGGGCCTTGGTCCTGAAAGAACTTGAACTGGGGCTGTCTCTGGCGAGGGACAGGTGTAGAGCTGGTGTGAGCCCCTGCAGAGTCTGGCCTGGGGTTAGGGTCTGTGCCAGCCTGGCCCTCCCGGTACCCATGGCTGTGAGCCATGGGGTCTGCAGCTGCTGTGAAGGAGTCCCATGAGGGAACGCTGGGCACATGCCAGCAGGGAGCATGAGGGTTCCTTAGACCTCGCTCCTTCACCTCTGGCCATCCTGGCGGGGCGGGTGGCACCTGCAGATGGGCAGTGACCTGGAAAGTGGACCTCAGCCTGCGCAGGCAAAAGACTGCTCTTCTCGGATCTGTGTGGCCAGGTCATCCACAAACCTCCAAGCAGCCTTTGGGCCAACCTGATTGGGCTGGGGCTGCTTGCGAAATAAACCAGCCATACCTGCAGATTTCCGCTGCAACATTAATAGGCCGGCCTTGCCTGTGAGTCGATCTATTAGTATAATAAAGCACCATGCCTTAAAGAGAACGTGAGGGCTTCCCCTGAGATCTGGCCATGGGGAACTTGCTGGCACAAATAAATCTTCCACACTCCTCGCCCAGGAGAAAACCTCTTTAAGCCCCCAGTGCACACGCAGCAGCTGTCAAGCAGCGCACGGTAAACAGCCCCAGCCTCACACTCACATGTCCATGCAGCAGCCTGACCGCTCCCGCGTGGCCTGCTCAGTCCCGCCTCGACCTCCAGGACCCCAGCCCCTCTGAGTGTAAGCAGGGCCTGCAGACGAGGGGCTGCGCTTGGCAGAAAGGAGGCCACCTGAGGGTGAGGGCGGGTGTAACGCAGATTCTAGGGAGTCTGTGGAGGTCACCCAGAGCAAGCTGCATCCCATCCAGTGAGTCGGCAGCTCTGTGCTGAGCGCGGGCTCTGGTCCAGCCATGCAGTGGACACGTGCCTCTCGTGGGTTTCCTCCTGTCCACAGTGTCCCACGCGAGCACACACTCGGGCCCTCCACAGCACAGCGCCTCTGTGCACAAGGTCCACCTTGTCCTCGGCTTCCTGTCCCCTCGTTCCGGCCCTCTGACCTCTCTCACCTAAGCCCACGTGGTGGAAGCCAGGCCCCTCAGCTCGGGGCAGGTGCCCACCCCTCTCCTGCAGCTTCCGCAGCCCAGAGGACCCCCAGGTGGCTCCTTCAAACCCAGACCAGCTATCTCATGTCTGCTCCACAGGGGCTTGGAGCCTTGAGCCCTGGGGCCCAGGCGCCTGTCTCTAGGCAGTGATTCCACCTTTAGGGCCACATGCATGGGCCGGATTGCTGCACAGGCTCTGGGCGTACACAAACCATGTCCAGTCCGAATAAATGGCCTACCCAAGATAGCCACACGGGGGACTCACAAATGCGAAGCAGTTTAACAAATGGCCGAGGACAAGCTTCCCAAGGTTCACTCCGGGTCCTGGGGACAAGGGGGCAGTGGGAATGCAGGACCCATGACCAGTCCAGAGTCACTGTCATGCTCACCGGAACTGCTGACCTGTGCCTTTTCTTAAGCTGACTCTGGGGATACTTGTGGTAAAGAATAGGCAGTGTGGTAGCAAATTCAGAATTTAGCAAATAAGTGAGGAAAATCCGTGACAAGGACATTCTAGAGAGGAAGATTTCTGTGAGTCTTTGGTCTATTTTGACCAGTACGATATTCAGTCCAGTTCAACGAGGCGACTGTCGGTTCTGCGTGTCTTACGCTACTACTCAAGGGCTGCTATGCAGTGCATCGATGGATTAACTGAGGCACAGAGAACAGGCGGGAGGCTGAACCGCAGTCTGTAAGGGGATGGAGCTTCAGTGGATGGAAGTCCTGCCGTGTTTTGCCTTAAAAACACCTCAGTGTGTGAGTGAGTGCCTGTCTGCTCTCTCGGGATCTCGTTCCCTGGCATTCATCTCTAGGATTTTGCAGATAAAAAGGACAGCTTAACTGGAAATGCTTAAATTATCTGGATATTGGATTTTGCCATGAATTTTGACCTCCTACAAAAGTGAGTCATTCAACTCTGCAAGACATGAGCGAGAGTGCTACTTCAGCAGTGTCCCGAGAGCCCAAAGGGGTCCTCTGGTTCCCGCTTCCCGAGCTCAGCACACGGCCCACACCAGAAGCTCGCCGAGGTCACCTGTGCAGTCCTCTGTGCCTGCTCACCTTCCACACAGCATCGTGGGCATCAGTGACATCGGGGTGGGGCCGCAGAAGTAGCAGGTGGGTGTAGCGAGCTAATAATGTGGAAGACAGGGCCTGGTTGCTGGGGTTCTTTCAATGACATGTGTGGCATGACCACAACATACCATGAATGTTTAAACTTTTAAAGAATTTATTTCACTAAGAGACAGATTGCTGTGAATCCCTCTCAAAATGTCTCCCCAGTTTCCAACACACTCATCCCTTTGCCCTTGCCACTTCCGGCAGCTCTGGAGTCCTCTCTGAGGGTCTTTAGTTGCGCTGTCCTGGCTGCCTCCATGTCCTGAGTCGATTCAAAACGCTTCCCTTTCATGGTCATTTTCACTTCGGAAGAGCCAGGAGTTGCACAGTGGCGGATCTGGTGAATAAGGTGGACGAGGACAGAGTTGGGTCCTCCTTGGTGACACTCGTCCATCCAACAGAGTGCACCTTGAATAGACCCTCAGGAAAGAGGACCCCAGAGTGGCTGCAGGAAGTGGCAAGAATGATGGGATGAGTGCATTGGAACCTAGGGGAAACATTTTGAGAGGGATTCGTGGCAATGTGTCTTTCTTTCTTTTTTTTGGTACCAGGGATCGAACTCGGGACCTTTTGATTGCGAGGCAGTTAGTAGACCCACTGAACTAAATCCCTGGCCCAGCAATAAGTCTTTTACTGTAATTATTTTAAATTTTTTTTTATTTACACATTCACTTTTTCTTCAAATCTCTTATTCTAAATTCTGAATAAAAATTATACTGCTCCAAAACAGGCAAAACCATTTTTTCACTAAGTTAAATTCTCCCATAGTATGGACAATTAGTTCAGAAATCACTCCAAAAAGAAATGCAAAGTGGGTTATTCTAGCTTTTTGTCCTCAGTACTGGAGATGGAATGCAGGGAGGCTGTGGTGCATGCTAGGGAAGCACTTCACCACTGAGCTGCATTCCCAGCCCCTTAGCTAATGTTTTAAATGCCTTTGGGGTTTAAAAAAGGATTGAATTTCTGTTTGTTTGTATTTCTTAGGAGCCAGTTCCTCCGGGTTACAATAGCTGACAGCGAGGCATAGAAGGGGTAGAAAGAGGGCACAGTGAGAGCCAGTGTGTCCCATGCCACGGCAGGGCGCCAGTGCCACCGAGGAAGGGCGAGCACATCATGTGCAGCTCAGCCCCAGGGCCACTGTGGGTTGAAAGCTCCGGTGAGAAACGCCAGCACTATGTTACCTGGTGACGAGCTATTCCCCAGCAGCCTGTTGCAACCCATATTCATATTTCAAGGCTCATTGCTCCCGGAATTTCAGATCCCTCTGCTCTGCTCTTCCTCTTTATGCCTGGAACAGAGGTAATATTTTGAATATTTAAAATGCATCTCATTCCTGTGCTGTGAGAGAAGGTATTGTATCAGAATTCTTTGTACACGCAGTTAATGATCCGTAATAAAATCCCATTATCCAACAGGTTTGTCTGGATTCGACTTGGTAAACAACTGATAGCAATCTTTGTTTCTAAAAATGAGGTACTGGCTTGGTCACTTACAGCCCCTGAAAATAAAGAGGTAGCTGGTCTCGGTCTGGGCTCTAGACGTCTCGCAAAAATAAAAAGCAGCCTGTCCACCAGTTCCGTCTAACTGGGGTTTCCCCGTGGCCACGAGCAGCTCCCACCACATTTCGCCCCTCTTTGCTCTTCACTCATCAACCTCTTGCCGGCTTGGGGTCCGAGGACATCTGGGATTGGGGTGCCACCAAGGAGAGGGGCCTGAGATGAAGGGGATCTAAAGCTGCTTCTTAGTGGGCACCTCCAACCACCCTCCTCTTCCACTAACTCCTCACTTACCTCCCGCTATGAGGCGAACATTTGTCCCAGAGATCAAGAAAACGCACCATGGATTCCAAGGTCACATCGTGGTGACCTTGTTTGAAATGGCCCTTTCTCCATGGACCTGTCCCCTTCACATAGGGAAAAAAAAGAATAGAAATAATCAGAACCAGAGGGACCCTGGACCCAGCACCGCTTTACCGGGCAGCACAAAGATGGGCCGTGGGAACTGGCTTGCGAATTGTCGAGCAGAAACTGGTAGGTTCCTTGATTGATTGACTGATTAATTGATCGATTGATTTTTATTAGTCCATGTTGTCAGTACGTAAGTTTACGTTTCCTGTGTGGAGCTGGTGCATGTGTAGAACACACCCCGATTCCTTTTCTGATCCCCGCCCTCCCCTCCCTCCATTTCTTGGTCTTTTTCCCCTTTGAAAAAGAGCCGCCTCCTGGGGCTGGGGATTGAGCTCAGTGGTTCCGCCGCCTGCCTTGCAAGCTCAAGGACTCGAGTTTGATCCCTGGTACCAAAAAAAAAAAAAAAAAGAGCCACCTCCTACTTTCAGTGTTCTATCTTTTATTTCGCTCTTTATTTATAATCTGGGGTTCTCATGTAAGAGAAACCATGTGGTGTTTAATTTGTGTGCCTTATTTCCTTTCATATTATGCTCTCAGGGTGCA